AGCCATGTGAGAGATGCCCCGCCTTTTAGCTTCCCAAGCCACAAACCTGTTTCTTTACCTATCGCTCTCCTGGTTTGTCCTGCCAGGCTCTGAGCCCGGCCCTGGTCCTTTGGGGCTCTGGTGGGGATGCTCGTGGGTGGTGGCTCGGGTGGGGTCTCTGGGTCACCGTCACCAACGGGAGATTGCCCCCCCGGCCAGGCGAATGGCACATTTCAAAGCCCCAGCACCCAGCACCCAGCACCCCGGGGTTAGTTGTGTGCTTTCAGCATCATGCTGCAAGGGGGTGGATGTTGGATCTGACTTGTCCGAAAAGAAAGATCCAGGCGGTTTTGGACCGGGCCTGAAGTTGCCTTGGGAAGGGCAGGAGCGGGGTGACACTGGGAGACTCAGCTGGCTTTTTTTTTGAGGAGCTGATGTTGCATGAGAAAGGGACAATTGGTGCTCCAGGGGCTTTGTAAAGTGCTGGGCTTGTAAATTAACTGTTTGACACCAACAGTGATGGAGAACAGTGGGGGGGCAGGGGCTGGATGGCAGAGAGGGGCAGTTTCTCGATTTATTTCTATTCCTTCTGCGGTGCCTCTCCTCCTAACACCTGAGCAGTCCAAAATAACTTGTGCAGAGCCTTCCAGTGCCGGAGCTAAAAAGCACTTCATAAGCCTTAATGAATCAAGCTGCGCAACAGCCCTGCGAGGAATTATTATTCCCAGTGGTGCGGGGAGGTTGAGGGGAAAACGCTCGTGTTTGGGGGCCTCGGTTTAGATGCTCTGGTCCACCCTCGTGCACCTTCACCCAGCAGCCTCCCATTCAAGTCCCTGAGTCAAAACTCGAGAATTAAAAAAAAAAAAAAAATTAAAGCTAATTTAAAAAGAATAAGCCAGGCCACACATTGAGGTGCTTTAGCAGGGAATTGCGGGGGAATTAACTGAGCATCTAAGTTTAAAATGTAATTCAAAGTGATTTCTGGAAATCGTATGGGTGCTGAGAAGGGGGAGCTTTGCTCCCAGGCTGATGGTACCTGCAGAGCCTTTTTTTTTTTTTTTTTTCCTCTCTGCTTTGGATAGTTGGCTCCAGCCTGCATAAACACTCCACAAAACAGAGGGAGGACAATCAGGTAAAGGCCCACCACTGCCAAGGACATGGTGTTTTGTTGGCTGTTTTTTGTTTGTTTGTTTGGGTTTTTGGTTTGTTTTGTTTTTTCTTTCTTTTTTTTTTTTTTTCCAGGGAGATGGTGTCAGTTTGGACCAGTGCATCCCAGTCCCCTGGGCTGCCAGTGGTACCTAATAAATCAGGCTGGTGAATCCACGATGCGATGCTAACCAGAGTGCTCCCACCTCTCCAAACCGTGCCTCCACCATGCCAGTTGCTTGGGCCATCTAGCCTTGGACAGACGTTTGATTGGAGCTGTCAAGAGCTGGCGGGCTGAAACTGATGCAAACAAGGAAGAAGTCAGCACTTTTAAAAATATATGAGTTTTGGATAGGAAGGGGCAGAGGTTTTTTCATTTACTGGAGACAAAAGAGAGCCAGGATTTTCACATTTTTACAGTGTCTGTGCTAACAGGGAAGTACCTGCACTTTGGGGTTTAACTCCAGGAGGCTTCAGAGAAGCAAGGGTTTCTCTCAACGCTGAGATGGACTTAGACCAAAATGAAGGATTTGTTTTGTCCTTAAGCATAAAGAAACTTCACATTCAGCTCTGATCTTTGAAACTGAGACTTAGTTCTCCTGCTCAGACATCTTCATGAAATCCATATCTAACCTTTGGATGCAAAAATAAGCAAGTAGGCAAATAAATTCCTGCTTAGACACCCAAGAGAAAGTTTTACAAAGACCTCAGTATTGCCCTGACTCTATTCTCCCAGGCACTTCTGGGGTATTCACCAGTGCCTTTAATTCAAGCAATACTGGGTCCTTGATTCTACCAACAACTCCCTAACCAGTTTGATCAAACCTGCCAGTGTCAGTGGCAGCGATGGCAATGCCTCGCCTCAGCAAGCTGCTTGGTAGAAGAATTTGACATCTTGACAGTTGTCCCCGAAAAACCTCACAAGTCCCTCCAAAGCTAAGAGTCAGAGGAGAGAAAATGAACCCTGCTGCACGCCAGATCAGACCTGCTTTTGTACCGGGACTGAAAGGCTTATTTAAAAGTCCCAAAACATGGCAATAAACTGCAACCCGCTCCCCACGGGAGGTTTCGGGGATGTGTGAACTTCTGTGGGAGCGTTTGCTCCTTCTGGAGAAGCAGAGGCAGAACTAAGAGTAACTATTTAGAGCCCACTCTGCAGAGGGACGTGGGGAAGAGATGTTTGCGCAGCTATTTTCAGCGTTTTTCAGAAGTCCTCCTTTCAGGAGGCAGCGCTGGCTGCCCCGTTAGGGGCTTGGCTGGGCTCAAGCCTTCCTGCTGCTTCTTTGGCGTCGTACCCGACGGTGAAGGGTACCCAAAACCGGTGGGTGATGTGGGCTGTGACGTCACCTACTCTCAGAGGCATCACCAGGATGCTCCTCTGTGGAGATCTCACCCTGCAGAGTCCAGGCAACATGGGCCTTGACCTCTGATGAAAGTTGTGTGGCTTCAGTTTTTTTATTCCTTTTAATGCCTCTGATTATTTTTTTTTCCCCAAGGGAGCTTGTGCAAGTTGATACGACAGAGTAAACCATGAGTTGTAGTTGGAGAATCCTGTATTTTATTATCATGGATAAATATCTCATCCAGAGGAAAAGGGAGGAACACAAGGTCGCCCAGCACGCCTAGAGCTGAGCCTGAATAGGAGGTCTAAGATGCTGGCTCGTGCTCCAGCCTCCCATGCAGCCTGGGCTTCGTTCTGAAGGCAGAAGGTTTTTATTCTTCAAAGTGCCACTTGCCTTTGCTACCTGCAGACAAATAGGTTGCTCTAAGATGCATGCCACGAGTTGATTTTTGATTCATGAGAGGCTGAACCAACACTGATCATAAGAGAATCCACAGTCATCATAAAATATGAAAGGATTTTAAGAAGGACTCTACATCATACTGAGGTCTGCAGAGCAGGCTTTCCGCCTCAGAGCCAGAGGGGCCAAATGCAGCCGTAGTTTATTAATGAAAACGTGGAAGTGAAAGCAGTGAGAGCAGAATTTGCCCCTCTATATTCCATGCTACCTAGTTCTGCAGAAGCTTTTGGGAAACCTGCCGCTTTAAGCATAAACAGAAGACAATTTTGTTTTCATGCAATTTTCTTGCCAATGCTTTTTCTTAAAAATCTGTACGGCTGTCATATAAAATATGCCTTGGTTTGTTCTAATTTAGATTACGCATATTTGTCCCCAGTGAATGATTGATTAAGTGCTCTGATCTTGACTGCTATGTTAGCAGCAGGGTATCTGTGCAAGAGGATCGGAAATCTCATTGGATAAATGGGAGAGATGAAATCTTAGCTGTTATAGATCTGGGTTTCTTTTTCACAGCCAAGGCAAATGCTGTCTTCTTTGCAATAACAAACATGCTTTGTAATGCGTTCCAGGACAGTGCCGAGCCTGACTTTGTTTCTTCATGGAGGGGCTTTAAGCTGTCATAATACCATGGCACCAAACTCTTAATGTCACAGATATCACTGTAAAGTGGGTATCTCTGAGTTCACTAGATCAGTTGTGATTTACACTGATGTAACTGAAAACAAAATGTGTCTCGCTGACATCTGCGGAGTTGCTCTGATAAAACCAGCATATAAGCAAAACCAGGGGGGGAAAAAAAAAAAAAAAAAGAAGATGTCTCTGTGCAACTGAGCTCATTCAAAGCATCAAGTATGGTTTAGCAGGACTGCCCAAAATGGAAAAACCTCCTTCAGGGGTTTGCTACCCTGTCAATCTCACTTTAACATCACTGAACCTGAGCTCTGTGTGAATATATTGTTACCCACAGGAGCTGGGAGATATTTTCCTGCTTATTTGTATAATCTTATGTCCCATACTTCTAACGGGAAATTATCTCGAGGTGTGTTTTGTCATCTTTTCATTTGTTCGCATTTATGAGCTAGAACGGACATAACTAAAGGTACCTGAAAACACTAACTTTAAAAAAAAAATGTATTTTGTTTTTCTTTAATACGTCTTAATTTCTAACACTGGTCTACTGCGTTGTCTTTGGAGTGTTGTATTGCTCGGAAGGTGTGGTAACAAACCAGGCAATTTTCGAAAGAAAGGAGGATTTTTTTTTTTTTTCTCTTTTTCTCTGTAGATTTTCTCTGACCTTCTTGGAGGTTTAGAGAAAGATTTCATGACCATCAGAATAAATGGGTTGTTCACTGTGATGCTTGCAGCCTTGGAAAAAAAAAAAAAAAAAAAAAAAAGAAAAAGATAAAAGGACGAAGAAAAGAAAATCCCTATACCCATTGTCTTCCAAAAGGAGACAGATGAGTTGTGAGCTCCAGAGAAAATATTCCAAAACCTGAGCATGATGCTGTCACAGTAAAACAGAAAAGAGCTAAACAAAAAGGTAGTGACCCCAGGGATGGCAGCGGGACTCAGCTCCCTCCTTCTCAGGGGGTTCAGCGCTTTGGATGAAAAAAATACCCCCCAAAAAAAGAGCAGGTTGCAGAAATACCTAAACAAGGAGATACATCTTGGAAAAAAGAAAATCTGTTCCAGCTTAATTTCCCATTATTAAGATATCATGTTTGTTATTGTCTGCCCTGATTTGTTCACACATACCCGCGGACGCGATGACCGGGGGCAGGATCTCAGGTGACTTTTGATGAGATCTCCCGACTCCGTCACCAAACCGGGAGCGTTTTCCCGAGCAAAACCGTGGCCCGTAGCCATGTGTGGAAGTGCTAAGCTGTGTTAATGATGCTGTGCTATCATCAGGCTCTAATGCTGCCTTGAATGGATGTCACTACTGTGTATGTGCCTGCAGATCAGTTGGTAATTACACTTGGATCCAAAGTAATTATCTTGAGACTTGCACTCGGGTTTAGAAGACAGAAATAACCATGCACTCGCCTAGTCCCACACGTAGCACTTGTGATGTAATTTAATAGCCGGCTACTAACATGAAAGTAAAGAGGCATTTCTCTTATATTTATGCTCTTTTAAATTAAACATCGGTGTTTTTTTTCCTATGAAAGGAAGCAGGGGCTGGGTTGCCACCGGTCTTCTTTTTTTCCCCACTCAAGCGCCCTCCTCTTTTCTTGACAAAATTCAACACTCTGAAGCAAAATAAATATTTATAAGCTCCTCCTGGTGTGATTGTTTTGACAAAACAACTCCAGCAGGTCTTGCTTTGGCTTTACTCTCTGCCCTACTTACATTTCAGGCAGGGAAAAACCAGCTGGAGGAAGACGCGGCGCTTGGATGAATTTTGTGGGGTCTGGGTGGGGAGCGGAGAGACCAACCATCCCTTTTTGGGGTTTTCCAGGTCACATCTGCCAGTGTGTTTCCTCTTTAACCTCCAAACGTGAAACACCTGGACAGCTGTAGCACCACGTTAAGCACTTTTTTTTTTTGGATGAAGAGCTCAAAGGCGAGACAGACTGACGCCCGGAGCCCACGTATAAAAGGTACCTTCGCTGTCTGCAGTTCTGTTTCCCAACTGTCCATTAGCAAAGCTTGCAGCTTTTTTTTTTTTTTTTCATGTAGAATTTACTTCTTCTTGTGCATTTCCAAATAAGCCAGTGCTTCTGCAAATAGTCTTCTTCCTTCAGGGTGACTAGCTTATTTTGGTTAGGGAAAGAAAGAGTCTACTGTGATCTCTTTCTTTTGGCAATGTCTGGGTAATCATTGCTCATAATAATGCCATCCCAGATGTTGAAACATCTCCTGTATTAATTTTACCCAGAAGATAATTTCCCTTAGAAATCATGTGCAAATCCCCTGTTCTAATTTAAGAATTAATTCAGTACACTAAATCTTAGCACTTCATCCTAGAAATGTTTTGCAGTGTCTGTTAACCCTTTGCAACAACAACAGGCTCAAACGGGAGATTTACGGATTTAACAAAGCCTGTCTCTCATAGGAAGCTCTGCCTTAGTCTAGCACACAGTATTTTGAAATGAGGGTCCCCTTTGAAACCTAGAGCCTACCTGCCTGAACGATTTCTTTCTCCTCAGAGAATCACAAAAATAAATTGATTTGTT